GTTGATGGTATGTCCACACAGCAACTGGAGGATGTTTCTTATCATAGGAAAGTAGACACATGCTAACTTTGCTTGAGCTAGTGGAAGTCTGTCCACCCATACTGGGAAGCATAGACATACTCTCAGTATAGGTAAACATAAAAAAGAAGATGCACTGCAGGTACCAACTGACTTGCAGAAACAGAAATGATTATATTAAATTAGCAACACTGATACTAAAAACAAACATCTGTCAAGTTTAATAAAACATATTCCATGAGAATAACTATAAAAAGTTAGAATATTTGTAGTGTGTAAGTCCAATAATGGTGTGACTTGGTTACAAGAGGAACAAAGAACACAAAATCTGCGTCATCTTTCCTGAGTGCTTACAACTAAAGAAATTCTGTTTTGAAAACCAATATTTCATATATTTTATCAAAATATTGACGTTGAACAACTGTTCCTGTAAATATTGGTAAAAATGCTAATATTTGGCTTTGGGTGAATAATTTTTCCAACATTAGAAGTTGCACAGGTAGGAAGGAGAGTAGCTTCCTTCCCCATAGAAACATCAGTGTGATTGACTTGCCTGTGGCTTCTTTCCAGTTCCTTTTAGCTTGTTCTGATGGTGGCCAAGCTTGGCTTAGCAGGGAAACAGAAGTGTCTGCCTCTTTCTGGCCCCTTCATGTGGCAAATAGCAAGCTGCTGCTTTTTCTTTTCTTCTAATGATCCATTTGTGACAGACTCCCCAGTTCTGTTCCTCTACAGTGAGGCATACCTCACTATACACAAAGGTGAATTTCAGTATCTTGGAAAACTAGTTTTCAGAGGTATCCAAAGTTTGTTGTGTGGATAATTTTCTTCCTCCTAATCTTTGCTGTCTGTATTTTAATATGTTAAAAAACATTGCTTATAAAAGACAAATATTAATATAATCATGTGCGCTAACTTATTTTAACCCTCTAGGTTAGGGGTGGGAACATATGATCTGTGGGCCAGATTCAGTCTGCCAAGCTGCCAGATCCGGTCCCTGAGAACCTCTGCTGGCTCCCTGCCTACCCCACCCGTACTCAGGAAAGCTCTCTGCTGCAGGGCCATGTGCTTCTATGAATGCTGAGAGTCCAGGGGGAGGGGGTGAAAGGCTTCTCACCCTGCTCCTACTCCCAGTAGCCCCAATTAGCCAGTTTCCTGCCAATAGCAGCTGCTTGCTTGCAGGACAGACAGCATGTGAAGTACCCCTCCCCCATCATCCCCCACACTCACAGTGTTCACAGCAGCAATCAGCCTAAAGGCAGGGACCCTGGTTAAGGAACCTGCTGGCTGGAAGCCACCCAGATAAGGCCTGCCTCTGGAACCCCAGCCTCTCCCTCTCCTGCACGCTTACTCCATATAATCCAAACCTTCTGCACCCCTGCTCCATTCCCCATACATCTTTCCAGACACTGTGTCCCCTCCTACACCCGTCCTCAGGTCAAAATCCCCTCCCAGGCCTTGCACCCCAATCCGCTATCGCTGGTCACTACTCAAATCCCTACATTCCCTCCTGGACCCCTACTCCAGATCACACTCCCTCCCAGACCTTGCACATCTTCCTTTACCCCAGTTCGCTGCCCCAGATCACAATCCCTTCCTTCACCCAAACTCCCTCAGATCCTATACCCAAGTCCCTTACCCCAAGCTCCCTTCTGCACCCAACCTCCATTCCAGACTCCTGCACCTCCTTCATTAATAGAGTGTGGCCCTCAACCATGTACTAAATTTTTGGAATGGCCCTCCATCAAAAATTACTGCCCACCCTTGACTTAGAATGTGCTTTTTAAACTTTGCAGAAAGAACTTTATTTTTTCAAAATAAAAATACTAAATACAAGTAATCATGTGTAGAACAGTTCATTGCCAGAATATCTGTAGAAAATTGAGATAAGTTGAATTGCTTTTTGTTTGTAAAAGAGTGGACTGAAATTTTAGTACATCACTGAATCAAACGTGTATGTTCCCTCTGCAGTGCTTTCTCATAATATACCTATAATAGCCCCTTATTAACAATGTACAGTAGTAAAAAGAATATCTGATCTGCAGTGTTAGTGAGATTATGAGGTTGACTTAAGTTTTAATGTTGAATTTTTAATACTAATCCTGCAGCAAGAGCTGAATCTGAGTTTATGTTGGGGGAGAGAAGATGCAGGAGAGTTGGGTAGCTGCAAGTGAGATTGAGTCATAGCTGCAGAATGTGGGTAGAAAGGGAATAGGGGAGTCCTGCTGACCCCAGGCTCCATGAGGGCGCTTCCGCTTTGAAAGGTGCAAGAGCCACAGCAGGGGACTCCCCGCTGGCCCTGGGCTCCACGTGGCATTTCAATCTTTGAAATGCACAAGAGCCCCTGCTGGCTCTCTTGTATATTTCAAAGAGGAAGCGCAGCATGGAGCCTAGGCTAGGGTCATTGTGGGACTCTTGTGCATTTCAAAGTTGGCTGCCGCTGTGCCCCATCCCTTCCCACGGAGCTGGAGCTGCAGGAACTGGCTTTTAAGCCTGCTCCCCCCAGCACCCTTCCTTCCTCCCTCTCCCCTCCCCCGCGTCTTTGTGATAGAGACAGAAATGGGGGAGGGGGCGGAGTGACTAGTTGATTAGTGTGTTGACTATCTGATAAGCTTTTGCTTATCAGATAGTCGATTGGTCACTTACATCCCTAAAAGGGAAGTTTCATGGGTTCAGCAAATGTGAGGTGCAAATGGGTGCAGTGAAATAATGAGAGAACTTCTCACAGTTGGAGAACTTTTTTCAAAAGGGAATGGTCAAATAAAATACATTGTGATAGATATATGACTTTATCACTTCTTTTTCTGTCACCATTTGACTTTCAGTTCAAATACCGTTTCCATTTATCAGTTTTTTCTAATTCTACAGCTGAACTCATAGCCTAATCCTGAGCACAATGCATACAGATGCATACATTACTTTTATTTAAAACCTTGTTGCATAAATATGGCAACAAGGCTTTAAGGAATAACAGCGAAAAGAACATGCAACAGATGTATCATGTTATTCATTTATTTTGGAAATTTTTGCTTAGAACAGAGTTAGTGATAAGTGCAAAAATGATTCTATCGGTACTGTGTATTAAGTAAATTTATTGAAAAGCAATGAGCTAGATTCTGGTGTAAATTTTTTAGCTCCATTGAAATTCATGGAGCTTTCTCTGTTTACACTAGCTGAGGTTCTATCCCATTGGCTGTGGTTGTGTATATTATATTGAAGCATAATTTCAACTATGGAAGAAAAAGGAAATACAAATCAAATTTTCTGAGATATACATTAAAAGGTGCGCTACATTTATATTTTTTAGAGTTAAAAACAGTTTATTTCTACTGACTCCAAAAGCTGATGATTGTACTGTTTTCATTTTGCAGAGATATGATAGCCACTGGCTGTGAAGATAAAAATGTTCGTGTTTATTACCTAGCAACCAGCTCTGATCAGCCACTGAAGGTTTTTACAGGGCATACTGCAAAGGTGTTTCATGTAAGATGGTCTCCTCTGAGAGAAGGAATCCTCTGCAGTGGTTCTGATGATGGGTATGTATTCTTGGATTCTGAGAGACTTAAAGTCTGAAGTTGCACTTATGCTGGCACCATAAAAAACACCACTATTATCATTTTGTATCAATGAATAACATTTAATGTCCAACTCTGCCCCTGCCTCCTCCATAGTACAAATCTGGGGTTGGCTCCATGCCTATGTAGCAGTGCTTGCATTTGGAAGCAGCCGTGTGACACAGAGATTATTACAACGCTCCATCCTGCCCAGAGAGTGAAGTCTATGACTGCCACTACTACTTAGTGATTATATTGGGACAATACTACATATTCAAATTGCATCCAAGACCCTGTGAATGTAGGGAATAAGGTTCCCTTTTATGACTATCTAGAGTATGATTGATTGAATATCATCTGTGGAGATCTTTGAGGGAACCACATGCCCCATAAGTGGCATTACTGATGGCAGCTGTCGTAAACAGTGTCAGAATCCATGTGGGTAAAGAATCTTCTCTATAAGGGCATATCTACACAGCAGGGCATAAACTATGTCAATTGCGTAACTTAAATCGAAATAGCTTAATTTGGTTTTTGGTGCTGTCTACACAGCAGAAGTTGAAGGAATAACACTCTTCCTTCGACTTCCCTTACTCTTCTTAAAAACAGGGTTACCGGAGTCCAAATAAGAAGTCCTCCAGCTCAATATTATTTTGAAATAATGATTTGCTGTGTAGATGCGCTCTGTGTTATTTCAGAATAATGTCAGTTATTCTGAAATAACACTACTGTGTAGATACAACCTAAGAGAATGAGGAGAGAAGAACCACCTTTTCTATGATTCCCAGTCATTTTCCATCAGGTGTCGAAAATATTTTTGGGAAGGGTCATGAAATCAGATGATCTGAGCCTGTACCTGTCTCTGCCCGACACCCAGTCCATGTGGATTTGTACAGTTCTAGTATGGCAGTAAACTTGGCCTCTGGCAGTGAGAGGATGTGTAGGGAGCTCATGGGTAGAGCCCTGCAAATCTGCAGATATCCATGAACTGTGTTTGCAGTTTGAACGCAGATAAAAATTTTGTAGCTGTACAGTATCTACTCATTGGTATGATAACCATTAAAAAAGCCACTTTATTTTCAAGCTTGGAAGGCTGACAGAAAAAAAAAACTTGTAAATTGCATACTTTTTATGGATTCAGCTGGAGATAATAAATATGTAAGACTGTAATATCATAATTACACAAAAGTCTGAGTGCCTTACAATCTATGGCAATAGAGGCCATATCAGTACCACAGATAATACAGAGTCATTTTCAGAGTTCAGTCACACTGAAAACTAAAGTCAGGAGAGTCCTACGCTATTCTGGAAAATGTGTTAGCCTTTTGATTCTTTCTTATTTTGTAACACTATATATCATGAATGAAATTCTGGAACTATGCCAAATGTTCCCCTAAACTGATTGATTAATGCATTACATAAGATTTCTGAGAGCGGGCTGTACATGGGTGGCCTTTGGACCATTTAGAAATCATGAGCTATATGCATTTGCAAAGCACATCCTCTGACTGTCCATACTGCTTTGTGATACAGGCTTTGTAGAACAGTTCTTCTGCAGGTTTGGGGAAACCCAAATAGGACTGCTATGCTCTGTGGCATGAGTGGGCTTTGCCAGCATGCAAGTAGGCACGTTGTCCGTCAGATTTTATTTCTTTTTATAAACAAATATGATTTTTGTTTCAAAAAACTGTTTCCCTTTTAAAAAAAATAAAACCTCTTATGTTTGGGGATGACTGTTTAGATTTAGTCATTTATGAGAACTACTGTATATGAGAAGATATTTAGGATTTTAATTTGGTTATTTTTAAACCGAAAATATAGCAATATTATAGGCATAATTGATTCCCTCCAAAACAGCATAGATATGTGAGGGCTTCCACAGTTTCAGAAATCCTGCAGAAACCATTGCTGCCATAATGGAAATAACAGACTCTAAGGAGAGGCAGGGGCATTAAAGGCAAAGGGGAGATAGTATAAGCACAAAGGGCCATTGTAAGTGGGGGGCAAAAAGGACAATAAGTAGGAGGGGACACTTTAAAGTTATGTGGCAGGACCTTTCTGTTTGAATTTCTGCTTGGAAGTTATTCCGAATATTGTTACGCTTCTGCAAGGCTTATTCAGAACAATTTGAGTTTATTAGAAAGAAAAAAACCATACAATTATACATACATACAGTAGGATCTTTCATTTCATAAAGGCAAATAAATATGGTAATAAGCATAAGGCCATAAAATACAAGTACCTGTCATGATGTATATTGTATGCCCAAATTCTTATACTGACAAAACTTAGCAGCACCTGTTGAGCAGTTTCTCTTTCCCGGGAGTATATTCAATCTGTACTCTATAATTTGTGGTGAGTATGTTCTGAATTAATTTTAAGATAATGATTGTAACCTGTAAATGGTCTGGAGGATTGTAACCTGTAATGGTCTTTATCTAGGAGGATGCCTCTCTTTTGTGTCATACTGCCATAGTTGTTCTCAGCAGAAGCATCTGAAATGAAACCCATTCAATATAACACAGAAGGGGCTACTGGTTCTCCCCATTAGAGACCTGGGACTTTGGAACTGACTTTCTCCTTTGGTCTATAACAACCTGAGTTTGTTTGCCTGCAAGGTGCCCTGGAATGCCAACTTTCTCTCCCTAGTTTGTAATGAAGAGAGTGTAGAACAGGACTAGATGTAGGCCTAGGATTGAGTGGGAAAGGAAGGGAGGGGGTTGACTTGATTTAATATAATATATGATTTATAGTGAGTTCAATCTGTTTAGTTTAACAAGTTTAGTTAAGGAATGACTTGATTACAGTCTGTAAATACATATATAGGGAACACAATCTAGCATGGGGATTCTCAACCTTTCTGAAGCCTCCATGACATGTTATAAAAATTCCATGGCCCATTTGTGTTATAACAACTGTATTTTTGCATATCCAGTAGATTAAAAGCTAGGGCCAATGTTAAGGAGTAGCAAGCAGGGCAATTACCCAATCCTAATACCACATGGGGCCCTGTGAAGTTAAGTTGCTTGAGGTTTGGCTTTCAGCCCCATGCATCAAGACTTAGACTTTGGCTTTCTGCCCTGGAGACCAGTGAGTCTAATGCCAGTCCTGCTCTCTTATTTATTTTGGTGGGTCCCGTGCATCCTGCTTGCATTTCCTTAGTGGGCCCCAGAACACTCGCTGAGAACCACTGATCTAGCAGAGGAGGGTGTAAAATGATCCAGTGGCTGGAAGCTGAAGCTAGACAAATTCAGACTGGTAATAAGGAATAGATTTTTAACAGAGAAATTAACCATTGGAACAATTAACCCAGGTTTATGATGGAATCTCCATCACTGATAATTTTTAAATGAAGATTGTATATTTTTCTTAAAGATATGCTATAGAACACTGGTCCCCAAACTTTTCAGGGTTATGCCCCCTCTCTTACTCCTGTCTGCAATCCCTCACACACATGTCCCCTGGCTGGGAGTGGGGTTTTGGCTCCTTGAGGGCAGGAAGCAGCAGACTGGGTTAAGGGGACAAAGGCTGGGACTGGATCTAGGGGCAGATCTGAGGCTGGATTGAGAACAGAGCCCCAGACAGAGGTCAAGGCTGTGGCTGGTGTTGGAGCTGGAGTTAGAGTCCATGGCTGGGTACAGAGCAGGGTGTGGTGGGGCTCTCTCTGCAACCTTCATGAGGGCTGGCCCAGGCTCTGCTGTACCCCTCTTGAATGTTTCTCTGAGCCTCTCTAGAAGGACACAGTTTGGGGATCTTCTCTAGCAATAATTCTGGGCAAGTTCTATATCTGTGTAACACAGGAGGCCAGACTAGATTATCACAATAATCCCTTCAGGCTTTAGAATCTATTTTAATCTATGAATTTCAGCTATATTTTTGCTGTCACTGTGTATTTGAATTGATCTGGAGGAACTGATAGTTCTCTTTATTTTAGTGTTCTTGTAACAGAGTGTATAAGGTGCTCAAAGCATAAGAACTCTTTTATTAGTGTGTACATCTAGATAAGTAAATATTCTGTGAAATGTAAACTTTAGAATTTTGTTGTGTTCATATTTTGATAGATTGATGGTTTTAAGCTTTTTGTGTCTTGTTTTCAGTACTGTCCGAATATGGGATTACACACAAGATGCTTGTATAAATGTTCTTAGTGGACATACAGCACCAGTACGGGGACTGATGTGGAATACCGAAATCCCTTACCTATTAATATCAGGCAGCTGGGACTATACAATACGGGTGTGGGACACAAGAGATGGAACTTGTCTAGACACAGTTTATGATCATGGTGCCGATGTATATGGTAATATAGTTTTAAATCTTAATTTTTCCATTGTTATTGTACTAAAATGTATTTACATTATACATTAAAAGTCCTTGACTTAAAACTATTTAGTAGATACATTTCATTGTCGGAATAATGTTTAAAATGGTCTCTTCATTAGGATTAACATGTCATCCTAGTCGCCCATTCACGATGGCCTCTTGTTCTCGTGACTCGACTGTGAGACTTTGGTCTTTAACACCTCTAATAAACCCTCTCCAAATAAATATCCTTGCAGACAGATCTTGGGATGAGATCATTGGCAATACTGGTAGGTAAATTATACATAATATTATTTTCATGTGCTTTGTGTTAGGTTGCCTTTAATAAAATATTTGTGTACATAAACATTTCTGTTGAATAGATCGTGCTGTGGAACCAGGTGCTCCTCCTTTGCTATGTGGTAAAGTATCCAGGGATATTAAACAGGAGGTGGACAAGCTGACTGGTAATACTCGAGGGAAAAAGCTAAGGTGGTTTTCAGAATGTTTGTCAGTAAGTATTCCACATGTTGCATGTGTATGTATTCATTAGCTTAAACTGAAGCAAAAAAAGGTGTCTTCTTCCCTTCCCTTTGTACTATTTCCATTAAAATACACTTGGAATATGCAAGAATGACTTCTGTTTAGACAGTCTGTAGATGGAAAAATGTCCCTCCTAGAGCTGGTTGAAAAATTTTCAAATGGATTTCCCGATCAGAAAATATGGTGTCATCAAAACCAGAATTTTGTACTGCAATAGATACATTTCAGCAGATCTTTCTATTGAGAATTTTTTTCAAAAAATAGCTTCACTTTGTTCATCCAGAATTACATATTTTGTTTCTTGTTTGTGAAAGTGAAGTGGTTCAGGTTGGGCTAAATCTGCATTAAACTCTGTGATTGTCTGAGCTGCTGCAGAGCTTTAGGAAAGTTGTAGTTCTTGATCCCTGAAGCCCCCTCTCTCACCCACTGGCCCCATTTATTTCAGTCGAAAACACTGATACAAAAAATTTTCAATCAGAATTTCATGACATTTTTTGTTCCGCAAAGAGTAGCAATCTTTTAATATTTAATTTTTATTCAGAATTAAACAAATATCAAAATACCAGATTTTTTAAAATCTGCTCTTGTCACTACTTTTAAAGTCTATTAAACACTTCAGGACTAGAATTGGGACGTAGTGCTTACTCCCAGTTCAAAATATAGTAGACACTGAGAATATATTAGACATTCAAATTACAACATTGCTCTAAGGAGACTTTTTGGGTCACTTTGGTGGTCATTTTTTCATTTTTCATTTTAATCTCTCTCTGAGCCCTAGATTCATAGTAACCTAGGCATCTGACTTTACAAGTTGAGGTATACAAGAATTAGACCCAATAAAATTTTTAAAACTTCACTAAAACATTCCCAAATACTCTTTCTGTAATACATATGGTATATAATAAATGAATGATTATGTGGTGATGAATAAAGGTTTTATCAGCATTCATTAGCATATTATTTGTTAGTTTGCCACATGAGTGTTCTTTATTTCTGATGTTTCTGCAATTTCCCACATGTATCTTCAATCTATTATACAGATATACTTTCCATACCTGTGGTTTGTGTGTGTGCCATGTATGTGTATAAATTGGTTGTGCTTTGTGTCTACATAACTGATAAGTGTATCAAGATGAAACTTCTAACTGCACTAATATTTTTTACTACAGTGAGTAGTATCAGACTGTAGTATGTGACTCACATGATACATTCTGAAAATGTTTACCTTTGAATTGACAAATAATTGCACACCGTATCACTTGCAGGTTTCATTTTAATACCTCTTGCCTATTATTGTAATCTATTTCTTTTTTTTTTTTAATTATTTCAGCCTCCAGGAGGCAGTAAAAATTTATGGGACCTAGTTGCTGTAATAAAAGGTCAGGATGATAGCTTGCTTCCACAAAACTACTGCAAAGGAATTATGCATATGAAGCATCTGGTTAGATTTAGAATGGTAAGTGAACTATGCACACTATGTGAAACTTGTTCATTGGTAGTTTTATTTTTTTAGTTATGAAAATCCATTGGGTTGCAAAGCTGAACACTTCCAATGAAATGAAGTCACATTTTAGAAAAAGGCAGACACATTTCTTGTTTTTGCAAAAGATGAATTGCGAGGATAAAGCCCGTGGACATAAGTGTAACATGGATTATTGACAAAAGCACTGACTGGATCATGTCTCTTTCCTCTTTCTTCTTTCCTTGTGGTGTCTCCTAGGTCGTAACCCACCAGTCCACCCCTTTGTGGCTCTGCAGATGCTTTGCATGCAGCACTATCTTAAGTTCTTTCAATCAGTTACACAGACTAGATTAATTCAAAACATGGGGTCTGATTTACTAAGTCTTTTTACAGTGTGTTTTTGCTAGTCATCTCACTTCACCACACGCTCAATCTGTAGAAGAGTCCTGGTCAGTTTCCTTCCTCCTCTTATGACCTCTTAAGTTCCCTTCCTGGAGTGGGGGCTGTACTTTGCATCATCACTCTATCAAAACAAAAGGAAGCCCCTTGCTTCCTTTGGGAGCAGGTCAATAAAACAGTCACTGTTTCTCCATTAGTCAGGAGCCCCACCTCTTCTCCTGGATCTGGGTAATTCAGATAATTATTACTTATCTCCTTAAGACAGGAGCCTCCAGTTCTCCTCTTTAGTTCTGGGTTGTAATTTAGTCAACCAAAGGCATTAGTTAGCCCCTCTGCCCAGCTAAGTCTCAGGATGAGAGGGTTCTGCAGCCACACTTCTGCTAGTGTCTGCTCTTCAGTGACAGAGGAGGCAGTGTTTTGGCTGATCCATTTCCCTCACCTCATCCCCAGTTTGTTGGGTGAAAGGGGAGGTTTATCTTATTTTCTCTGCAAGGCTGCTGGCCAGTGCCCTTAAAGACTCAGGGTATGTCTACACTACAGCATTATTTGGAAATATCTTATTTCAAAATAGTTTATTTGAAATAAGATATTTTGAAATAATGCGTCTACACACAAAATGCATTTCAAAATAGTGTTTTGCTATTTTGAAATAGCGCGTCCACACTGATTGAACACTCAATCGCACTTAAGGCCAGCTGATACCAGTTCCAGCAGGGCATCAGGTCAGTGTGGCTGCTGCCTGAGGCTATCTGAGGCCTGTGCTTAAAGGGAACCCCCTGGACAGCTTGTTCTCATATTTCCCTGCTTGCTTGCCTACCTTGCTGAGGGACAGCAAAGCATTTTTGTTTCTGCCTGCTTGGGTTACTCTGACTCGGGACACCACAGCACTCGGCGCCATGGAGTCAGAGCTGCTCCTGGGCACTCTGGTGCTCATTTTGGATGTCTTGCTGCAAGCCTGGCAGCAATTGCTGGAATCTCCCTCGCAGCATCTGCTGCAGCCCGACCCCCAGGCCCTCTTCTGGACACTCCTGGGGGATGAGGAGGAGCAGCAGCAGCACCGCCCGGGTGCCAGCGTGCCCTCTTGCAGAATAAAGAAAACCCTGAATCTGGATTATCCCTGTCTCAGAAGTGCAAGCCTCCCAGCCAATACTGTATCTATTATTGGCAAGGATCTTACCCCTCTTTCTCCAAATGTGGTATGAAATGAAAACAAATATTAAAGTAAGTCAATGTATGTATTGAGAAATAACTAACAGTGTTTAGGAAAATAGAGAAAAATCTTTAAAACACATACTTATATAACCAATAATATACAGCCAGCATTCATAAAGTATAACGCTTCAAAATCCCAGTACAGGAACTATTAATTAGGCATAAAGCCCAAATCCAAAATATCTCAGGTGGCAAAAGGAAGAAAAGAGTGATAGTACAGACCCCAGACAAAAGGAAGTTTACATTACAGTGTCAATGGAAGTGAAGTACAGCGTGAAGCCTGGGACCTCAACCATTGAGCTATTTGAAAGCTCATCAGGAGGAACTCCTGGGTGATCCCACCAGAGAGACTGGTGATAGCAGTGGATCCTGTAGTGATAAGTATCTGCTCCTTTTCATCACTATAGCACAGATGGAATTCCTGAATGCTAAAGGCCTGGACCGCGTGAGGAGTTGCACTGTATTCACTTGGTCTCAGGTGGAGCGAGATCATCTGTCCCTGACTGACAGCTGCAGGGCCTTTTATTACCTCAGTGGCGTGAAAGTTCATATGATTGACAGCCCTGTGGTGTGCAACTCCTGAGGTAAAAGAATGTTCAAGGAGTTTATGGCAGGAAAATCTAGTTATAGCCGGATTGACCCAGCTCTGCCTTATGTTTCCTTGCCGATGTTATCAGACATTTTTCAAAATGGAGTTTCTCTCTCAAAATGGAGTCTTAATCATTCACTTTCAAATTACCTGTACCTAGCTTACAGAAATCATCAGAAAAATGCAGTCTTGGCTGGGAGGCTTGCACTTCTGAAACAGGGACAATGCAGATTCAGGGTTTTCTTTATTCTTATAGTTGCCTTTGTCACTGAGGTAAAATGGCTAAGAATGAAATGAAAATAAATGTAATAAAAAAATGAACCAGGAGAATGGAGTGAAAAATATATGAATACAACCAATTTAGTCTTAATGCAGTGGTTGTAGAAATGTAATACAGTAAAACTCCAATTGTCCTGCATCCAGTGGTCTGGCACTCCTGATAGTCCGGCACCAACTGGAACCTGGAAGAGCTCAGGCAGCTGCATCAAGAAGTTGTTAGTCAATTACAGTACCACCAGGTGTATCCACAGGTGACAGGTGGTACTGTAATTGACTAACAACTTCTTGAAGCAGCTGCCTGCCTCTCGCCCCCTCTCCGCCGCCGCTGCTTGCAGGCTTTGCCTCCCTGCAAAACAGCAGAGGGTTCGTCCCTCGCCGCGCCGTTCCCCGCCAAGCCCTCCCCTCCCCCCCGCCGGACACAGTGTGGGTCCTGGCAGCCCCGTCACAGCCCCCCGCTGGAGTACCTCCCAATAGTCCGGCATATCCGATAATCCGGCACCACCTGGATCCCAAAGGTGCCGGATTATTGGAAGTCTACTGTAATTCAGTGTAATCTCTTCAGGGTTTAAGGTCTTTAGTTAAAAAGCTGTGGTTTATCTTCTCAAAAGGTAATTTTAATATTACCATAACAATTCTTTGTTTGAATACTTGTTTAGCAATAATTGTATTATTAAAAAAAATAAATACAGTGCTTTTTCTCTTTACCAGTCCAGAGCCCAAGAACTAACGACAGTAAAAATGTCCAAATTTGGAGGAGGTATTGGTGCACCTAGCAAGGAGGAAAGGCTAAAGGAAGCAGCAGAAATACATTTAAGATTAGGACAAATTCAGAGATATTGTGAACTTATGGTGGAGCTTGGAGAGGTAAAGTACTAAAGCAACTAATGAAAAATTAAATACAGTATAAAATTGTAATAATACTACTTGTGCAAGAGTGAAAGCAAAAGAGTTATAAATCTAGCAAAGAAAGATCTTCCTGCAGTTTTGATGTTTATAACATATACAGAGAAACTTGGCTTAAGTAAACACTAGGGACTAAGAAAATGTGTTGCTCAGAACAGATGATTTTTAACTGAAGTACAAACAAAATTGTATTGGCAACTGTCGAGAGGTGTTCTATCTTGGGAGGCCCCTTGTGTCTAATCTCCTCTAAGGGCGCAATTTGGCCCTCTCACAAGACCATCCACCAGATTCCAAGTCTGGCTCCTCCTATACCTCTGGCAGAGTGGTTTCGGGTCCAAGTCTGCATCCCGAGTCCCTCTAGGTGGGGTGATATGGCCTAGTGGCCAGAGTCCATACCCAGGTCCCCTTTGGTAGGAATAATATGGCTCTGAGGCCTAGTTCATAAGCAGGTCCCCTCTATTAGGGAAAATACAGCCCAGAGGCCTAGTTCATAAGCCAGTCCCCTTTATTAAGGAAAACACATCCTAGAGACCTAGTCCTCAGGCAAGTCTGCCTTTCTAGGGATACCATGGCTCAAAGGCCTAATTCACAGGCAAGTCTCCTCTATTCGGGAAAATACTTCCCAGAGACCTAGTCCACAGGCATGCAGGAAGACTTCCCCCACACAGGCCAGCTATATGTATATTTAGGAACATACCTCAATACTTCTGTAAATCTGGGGATTAGTTACTCCAGAATAAAAGTATCCAATTTGCAAGTAAAAAGTAAGACAGGATTTTTTTTACCTCCATGATAATTTTAATTTTAATGGAAAAGACATGTACAGGTTGAACCTCTCTAAACCGGCACACTCTGATCCAGCAACATTTGTGGTCGAGCATGATTTTAGTTAGCCAGATGTTATAGAATCATAGGGTTGGAAGAGATTTCAGGAGGTCAAGTCCATTCCCCTGCTAAAAGCAGGACCTATGCCAACTAAATCATCCTAGGAAGGGCTTTGTCAAGATGGGACTTATCCACTTATCACGGGTGTGGCCAAGTTTCCTGCAGTCCCATAATGTTTGTTTACAGCCACTAGTCTTGGCTCTCAATGTTCCATGCTGTTATTTAGCTGTAATTTACCCCTAAGGGTATGTCTAGACTACATGGCTCTGTCGCCAGAGCCATATAGAATAGTTTACTAGACATACCCAAATGAAGTAGCGATTTAAATAATTGCTTAAAAATGGCTGCCGCACTGAGCCGATCAGCTGTTTGTTGGCTCAGTGCGCTAGTCTGGATGCTCTGCGGTCAACATCAAAGGCATTTGTCGACCGCCCCATTATGCCTCGTGGGATGAGGTTTACTGAGGCGGTCGACAAATACCTTTGATGTTGACCGTGGAGCATCCAGACTAGCGTGCTGAGCTGACAAACAGCTGATCGGTTCAGCGTGGCAGCCATTTTAATTTAAATGAAGCAGCAATTATTTAAATCGCTGCTTCATTTGGGTATGTCTAGTAAACTAATCTATATGGCTCTGGCGACAGAGTCATGTAATCTAGACATACCCTAAATGTCTTCTAAGAGTCCAATAAGCAGTGGGAGTATTAGTATTGACCTTCTATTGTCTGGCATATTCTCTGGTTCAGCAATGGTCAAGTCTCAAGGGGCCTGGTGAGTTTCAATCTGCACTTGATAAAAACTAGTTCTAAATGTAAATTTTTTTTGTACACTACTTGTTGTTGTGTTTCAGTGGGACAAAGCCCTCTCAGTTGCACCAGGTGTATCTATGAAATACTGGAAAAAGCTAATGCAAAGGTAAGGCTAAAAACATATTGATCAATTGTAGCTTATAGTATGCATAAAATAAAGGACCACAGCAAATATACATAAGATAAACTGCATCTAGAATGTTTTTCAACGTTTCAGTGATGTTGCTTATATTCATTAAAATGTGATGGAATGAGCCAGTATTTCAATAGGGATCTCATATATGTATAAAGCTTGAAAGTTTTTAATGCATGATGAGGCTTGAAATCTTATAGTGATGTGTCTTCATGGGAGAATTAGCTTGTAAGGATATGTTTACACAGCGTCAGGCAGTGTTCTTCTGTGTCTGGGTTGACAGATTTGGACTCATGCTACCATTTAAAGTAGCTGTGTAGATATAACAGCTTGGATTGGAGCACAGGTTCTTTGAGTGCTCTCTCATGTCCATTCCATCTTAGGTGTGTGTACTTACTTAAGTGGTATCCATATAGGGCCAACTCCGGCAGACCCTGAAGAGCAGGGAGTATGGTACAGTATAAGGGGTGCTGCTGGCATCTCTCACCGTCAGTTCCTTCTTACTAGTGATGATGATAGAATGTTCATTTTTCTAGCAAAGATTTTTCTCTCCAGTCTGTTCATTGTTAACTTTCTGCTATAAATAATTAGTATTCTTCCCTTAGTGAGTTTAGAATTTAGTGTCCCAGAATGAGACTTGGTGCAGGATGTTTTGTGTCTCCTGGTGCTGCTTTTGCTGACAAAGGCAGCACCCAAGTTAAGGGATAAGCCTGCCTCTGGATCACCCCTTCAGCATGGTTCCACACACTCCCTCGTGGAATGTTCTGCCCGTGGTCAGCTGCTCAGAGCCACCATGATGCAGATATAGGGCTACCATGTATCAGAGCCCTCTTTAACTGTCTCTGGATTCTGGACACTGCTCTCTGTGCTCAAAGATCCAGTTGTCGACAATGTGGTGCAGGCCTTTTGAGGCATGCATGGCCCCCATCGTCCTGTATTGGGAGTGTAGTAGCTGCTCTTCATCAGTTCGGCATCATTTCTATGGTGACTATGGTGACTATACGTAGTGGCCTACAACCTATTGGCATGAGTTCCCACCACAGCACTGATGATTGACATCGCTGCACCAGTTTCCAGTTCCTGCTTCTCTCCACGGCAGTAGTCAACAAATGTTTGGTATCAATCACCAGGATACTGTTTCAGATCCACTGAATGCCATCACTGGTGCCTGGTCTTGATGCAGTGGGTCATTACCCACATATAGTTCAATTTTGAAGTGAGGTGCATGAGGCTTTGGATACAATCTCACCAGTTGCTTGCTACAATAGATGCCTCTGCTGGGGATCACTGGACAAGGTGGTCTCTGTTCCCCCTAGAACACTCATTGCACTTCAGTGGTGAACTGATCCAGAGGCAGTCCTCTATGGGGTTCCTTTTGACAGCCTGTGTCACTAATATCAGATGCCTCAGATCTCAGTTGGGAGGTGCAGCGTGGCAAGATGTGTACAGCAGGTATGTGCTTAGTACAGGAGTCAATGTTACAGTTAAACATGAAGGAGTTCAGAGTGGTCCATCTAGCCTGTTAGGTGTTCCTTCTGCAGTTGTCAAGCTGAGTGGTTCACATGTTAACAGGCAACATGTCCTTGATGATTTACATCAACAGGCAAGGGGAGCTCACTCATCAGCCTTCTCCCAAAAGATACTCTGCCTTTGTGACTTCTGCATCCAGCATATGATTCACCTGGAAGCCTATCATATGCCAGGGATCACAAACAAACTAGCAGACTGACTGAACAGATCTTTCTTTTCTCCTCATGCGTGGTCAATCCATCATGAAGTAGCCCTGATGCTCTTCCAAAGGTGGGGGACTCCCCAAATAGAGACCTGTTTGCTATCAGGAAGACTAGGCAGTGTCATCACTTTTGTTCCCTTCTTGGTCTGGCCAGGTGCACACTCTCATATGCTTTTCTCTTGTCATGGTCAAGAGACTGGTTGTACACATACTTGTCAATCCTGTTTGTCACCAGAGTCCTGTCAAAGATAAGAAGGATAAGGCTCAGGTCATTGTGATTGCCCTGGCATGGCCATACCAGCATTGGTTCGGCACACTGCTAGATCTGGCGGTAGCCCTCCCATGGCTGCCTTCAGACTGTCTGGACCTTCTCTCTTAAGACTACAGTTGTCTCCTGCATCCCAACCTCACCTCTCTCCACCTCACAGTGTGGATGCTGCATGGTTGAACATAGAGGAGCAAGCTTGCTCCAGGGAGGTGCAGCAATTTTTTTTGGGGGGGGGGGAGTAGGAAACCCTCCATTTCAGAGGCTTACCTGGCAAAGTGGATGAAGTTCTCCCACTGAGTGTTGGAGTGTGACATTCCCATATTCATTCTTCATCCTGGATCATCTGCTCATGCTGAAAAATCAGGGTCTGGCCCTTTCTTCCATCAGGGTCCATCTAGTTGTAGTAAGATGAAGGCCTAAAACATAGGCCAGTGCAGCACAGGCCTGGTCTGAGGCCTAGATAACAATGGACAAAACATGGCTAACATAAAGCAAAGCTAAGCTGTGAACAAGAGGCAGGCCCCTGCTCACAGAACTTGGCACAAACAGGGCTGAGAGTGCAAAACACTATTTGGTAATAGGCCCAGGTGCAGAACCATAATTGGTACTGGTCATAAGTTGAAATCACATGGTACAACCAGCTCATTAAAAAAGACCTTGGTAACCACTCCTACAGATACAGACCCAGGTTCAGGAAAGGGTCTAAAATGACAGCATGATGGATAAAGATGGTCTAATCAAACCACAAGGTACAGGGTGATGGGTGATAACCTGACAACATCCGCAGTGAGGAGTGAGTTGTTTGTACCTGTATATAAGGTGGTGTCTTGGGGGGGGGGCAGTCTTTGTATGACCTGGGTGCAGTGGAAATTTCCTACTGATTGAGTCATTCCATTGTGGAAAGTACATATGCGTAGTGGGTCAGTAGAGTTTACTGACAACTATTACTGTACATCGTTTAACAATAAACCTGGCCAGGCACCTTCGATCCTTATCTGGTTTGTGGTCTTTGGAGGCCCTCTTGGGGTCTGCTGTGGTCATTGGGCCCACATCATAGATCACACATGCAAGCAGCCTTCTGATTATCATCACTGATGGAGCCAGAGACCTGTGAGGACACCATGGCAGTAAATCCACCTAACTACACTGGTGACCCTGACATGATTCGACAGCCGCCTCCCTGAATAACTACAGTTGCCATTTTGGCTTTTCTGAGGAATATCAGAATTCTCACACAAGATGTCCGTCAGGGGTTCAAGAGGCTTTACCTGTTAAGTTAGGAATATTGTCCTGCAATGGGATCTTAATCTAGTTCTCTCTAGAATAATGAACCCACCCTCTGAACCTTTGGGCTCTTGTTCCCTTTCCCACTTATCGTGGAAGGTCACCTTCCTTGTGGCAGTTACCTTGGCCAAGTTAGTTTTGGAGATTAAAGCTCTGACCTTGGAACTGCCACATACAGTATTGTACAAGGACATAGGAATATTGTCCTGCAATGGGATCTTAATCTAGTTCTCTCTAGAATAATGAACCCACCCTCTGAACCTTTGGGCTCTTGTTCCCTTTCCCACTTATCGTGGAAGGTCACCTTCCTTGTGGCAGTTACCTTGGCCAAGTTAGTTTTGGAGATTAAAGCTCTGACCTTGGAACTGCCACATACAGTATTGTACAAGGACAAGGTTCAACCATGGCTGCATCCTTCTATATTTTTCAGGATATATCTTCCTTCTGGTGTTCTGTCCTATGCCGCACAAGATCAGTGAGGAGAAACAACTACATACCTTGGACGTCCATGGGCTTTGGCTTTTTACCTTGAATGGACCAAGTCTTTCCTCAAATCCAGACAGCTCTTCATCATGTTGGCGGATAGGAAGGACAAATCTCTGGTCTCTCTGCATTTGAATCTTCATTTGGATTACTTCCTGAATCCAGGCATGCTGTGAGTTATCACAGGTCCAACCACCTCCTCTGGTAAAGGCACACTTGACAAGAGTGCAGGCATCCTCGGCAGCCTTCCATGTTCCATCCAGAATTTCTGTAGAGCTGTGATGTGGTCTTCGGTTCACATGTTTACAGAGCGTTATGCCATCATCCGGCAAGCCAGAGATGATGGTATCATCAGAGCTGTGTTACAAGCTCTTACCCCACCTCTGTTGGTACTGCTTGGGAGTCACCTAACATGGAATGGACATGAGCAAGCACTCAAAGAAGAAAAGAGTGTTATCTTTTTCCATAACTGGTGTTCTTCAAGATATGTTGCTCATGTCCATTTCATGACTCACCCTCCTTCCCCACTATTGGAGTTCTAGCAAGAGGGAACTGAGGGAGGGGGGAAGCCAGTGGTCCCCTTTATACCTGGCAATATAGGCATCATTCCAGGAGGCATCAGAGCCAGTCCCCTATGGATACCACAGAGGGAAAAACTTCTGGCACTGATGCATGTGGCAGGCATACACAGCTAACATGGAATGATCACAAGCAACACATCTTGAAGAACACGAGTTACAGAAAAAAGTAACTGTCTTTTCTGAAGCCTAGAGTGGGGGAAAGGAAGTGCTTCAGAGCCTGAGCTCCAACCCTACCTACTGCTTCAAACTGCTGTCCACACAACAGTTTTTAGCAATGAACCTGAAATTACTGACCAGCCTGGGAGGCTCACTGCCATGGGCTCTGTAGTCACACCTGGTGTCTCTTGGAGTCTAGCAAGGCAGATGGTTTTTAATGAATGTTTTATAGTTAGTTGTACCACTGGTGTGCAATAAATACATCTAACAGCAAATGAAACTAAACAGCCAAATCATTTTCAATTTCATTTAGGAGAGCTGACCAGTTAATTCAAGAGGAAAATGATGATGTCATCCCATACTGCATAGCTACTGGTGATGTGAAGAAACTAGTCACTTTTTTTACTTCAAGGGGCCAACTTAAAGAGGCTCTGCTTGTTGCACAGGTATTTTTGCTGATATGTATATTGGTCCATATTTATCATGAGCAAATGCAGCATTTCTCAAACTGAGGGTTCCAACCCCCCAAAAAAGGAGTTACAAGCTATTGTAGGGAAGTCACAAGATGTAAAAAAACCCCATCAAAACAAAACAAAACAAGCTTTTGAAGGTAGCACCACTGCCAGCCCCCACACAGAAGTAAGGATGGTAGTATGTCAGATGTGCTCCTATGACTAGGTACAGCAATTTGCTATCACCTTTTTTGAGAGTGGGTGGAGTTATCACAGCCTGAAATAATTTCCAAGGAGGGTCAAGCAAAAAAAGTTTGAGAATCCTTGACCTAGTGAGTAAGTACTTTTGGAGAAGGGATAAACTTAGTTATTCGTTTCTGACCTTTTGACATGAAATCAGAGACAAAGAGTATATTTAATCGGTCAAAACATACACTTCTGTTAAATGGCTAAAAATCCCAACCCCACATGTCACTCGTATTCAGCTGGCCAACTCTGACTTTGAAGCGATCAAAAGGGTCGCATATTTGGAGATGATAAATTTCATTCTGCTACATCGTCTTTAAGGTGCTACTAGACTATTTATTGTTTATTAAAGTCAAACAAAACAGATAGATGGTATCATGAGCTTTCCTGGGCATAACCCACTTCATCTTGTTATGCCCATGAAAGCTCATAATACCATCTAAATCAGCGTTTCTTAAACTGTGTTCTGCGGCGTGTGCTGTGGAGATATGGTGACCATATGTCTCTTTTTTTTTTTCCGGGACAGTCCCGGATTTAAAGACACCCAGTACTGGTGTGGCGCAGCAGCAGCTCCCCACCTCCACCCAGCACGTAAGCAGCTCCATTGGTGCTTTGCGCAGGCAGCCAAGGGCGCTGTCAGTGGTGCACAGTGTCCAGAACTCCAAGCTCCCATGCAACACGCGGCGCTGTCCGGCAAGCCCCTCCCCCCACTCTGTGGCCCTTACCTCCTCCTGTGGGACTGCCTCGGCTGTGCACCTCCAGCCCGGCCTCCTCCATCCACAGGCGGCCGCCACCGCTGCCAGAGGGGGAGGGGCACTGGTTGGAGCTGGTGAGCTGCTCCTGGGAGCTGCCACCAGAGTCCTGGCAGAGACCGCGCAGAGCTCAGCTCGAGTGCTGCAGAGCGGGGTACGTTCGGGCTCTGCTGGTGCGCTCTGTGCATGGCCCTTTCTCCCCTCACCCCTTCCCACTCTGCTGAGGGAGCAGCAGTGCACAGACCCGCTTGCACAGCAGCGGTCCACAAGCCAGGTCTGGGAGGGTGGGGGCTTTCTTCTCCCCCTGACCCTCGTGCTCCTCCTAATGGGAGCCAAAGCTGGATTGGGGACTGGAATGTCGCAGGGATGGATTATCCAATAAGCAGACTAAGCATGTGCTTAGGGCACCAGCAAAGCAGGGGAACCAAAAAAAAATGAGAGGAATACATTGACTGAATAAGTCTACCTGTACAACAGGGATTGTGCTTAGGTTGATGTACAGGGCTGGATTATCCAATAAGAAGACTAAGCATGTGCTTAGGGCACCAGCAAAGCAGGGGCACCAAAAAAATGAGATTTTTTTTGAAAAAATTTGATATTTCAAAAAAGGCATCGAAGTTGTCATTGTGGGAAAAGTCAGAACTCCGCAGAACGCTCTTTTTCTCAGCTGAAAAGAATATAAAACCCTCAGAGAACAACAATGTGTCAGGACAGACTGGATTCACTTTCCCTATTGTGTATGGAAGCGGACGTGCTTCATCAAGTCAGCTTCGATGAATGTATCCAGAATTTTGCAATCAGAAAATCTAGAAAGAAGCTATTTTAATTTCAGAAGACATGTCAGTTTTGTGTCATTTCAAAAAATACAATTTTATTTTACGGTATAGTATTGTTTTTATTTTTAATTACATTTGGGGGGCACCGTAATCTTTTCAGTGCTTAGGGCCTCTAAAAGTCTTAATCCGGCCCTCGAAATGTGGCACTAACATTCGCACCGGGAGCAGCCCAGCTTCAGGCTGAGCAAGCAGTCCTGCCTTGGAAGCAGCTGGGGCCAGGGCTGCGGGGACTTCTGGGGCCGACCACAAACTCCAGCCCCACAAACTGGAAGGCAAAAGGAGGGGCTCAGAGAGAACTAGGGGGAAGGAGGTGAGAGATGAAGGGGCTTGTGCTGAGGTGAAGGGGGCAGGGCAGGAGAACAAAGGGGAAGGCACCAAGGGACAGGGTGAAGGAGAGACAAATGCCAGGGGGCCAAGCGGATACAATGAGGAAAAGGGCAGGAGGAGGGAGGAGAGGTTTCAGTGGGGGTGGGAGGGTGAAGGGGACAGGGTGATGCTGGGAGAGGAGAGGGAAAGGGCATTGGGGGGCAAGAGGAAGCAAGGAAAGGGGGAGGTACTGGGAGAAGGGTTGAAAGGAGGAGTGGGCACGAGGAAGGCAGGGATGAAGCAAGTCATGTGTGAGGGCACAGAGGGGCATGAGAGGAACTGGGGCAGAGGATGGTGAGGGCATCGGTATCAGGGAGAAATAGGGCAAGGGGGAAGGGACAGTGAGGGAAGGAGAAGCAGGGGTAAGGGAAGGTGCAGGTGCCAAGGGATTCTGGGGATGAAGCAGAGAGGCAGACACCTGCAGGGGAGAGACCAGCACCAGAGGAGAGGGTTCAGTGGGGGCCAAACTCATCCCCATGGGTATGAGGATGGTGGGAAAAGTTCTTAGAGGGGGTTACTTTTACTTCTGGTCATGTGTCCATCTTGACCCCAAGAGTCAGGGGCATAGTAAACAGAGGTCAGGGGGTGTAGGTAACGTGTCCCTAAATGTGGTTCAGAAAATATGATCCCCATACACGGAGAAAACAGAGTTCAAATGGCTGTCCTTAAAAGGGGCAAGCTTCATTTTTTTTTTCCCTCAAGAAAAGTCTTTTGGAACACACAAAATTATTGCTTGGTGTTCCTTGGTCTTAAAAAGTTTAAGAAACACTGATCTACATGTTCTGTTAGTCTTTTAAGTTGCTATTAGATTATTTGTTGTTTTTTAAGTTTTTCTAGTTACAGACTAACTTGGCTACCCCTCTGTAGCTATTGACTTTTAAGTGTTTAGGACTGGGCCCCTTGATAGGATGATTCTGCACTGTTCTAATAGCTATTCTATCTTTCAGGGAAATTTTTTAGGAAAAATAGTTTGATTAATGTAAATGCAGAAAAGCACGATAGTAAATGTGTTCAGTGAAACTATGCAGCAAAATACTAAAAATGTGCATCTAAAGTTGAGAATATTTCAGAAAATATAGTTCTACATATCTGATTTAGTTAATGTGTTCAGTGTGATTGTAAGGCCAGCTTTGAAAATAGTTTGTCCATTTTTGCCTTCTTTTTGGCTAGGGTTCCCAGGTGTCTGGTATTGACCTGGACAGTCCAGTATTTTCGCCTCCTGGCAGGGAAAAAAAAATCAGAAAATACCGGACACCTAAAATGTCCAGTATTTTCTGATTTTTTTTCCCTGCCAGGAGGCGAAAATATCAGACACCTGGCAACCCTACACACACTCAGCAACCAGGCCCAGCCCCTGCCCCCCAGACCCCCTCTGCCCCCCCCCCAAAGAATCTGTCTTGTGGCATGGAGAAAGAAAACAAGATGTCCGCCGGCAAAAAAATCCCCAAAGGTCTGAAAGGGGCCATGCTGGGTTTTTTGTATTTTTGATTTTTTAATTATTATTATTTTTTTTAACTTAATAATTGTTGGGTCCTTTTTTTTTTTTCAACAGCCTTTGCCTCCCCCCCCCCCCCCCCTGGTTTTTTTGGGAGGGGGGTGTTCGGTATTTTTGGTTAGACCATCTGGCAACCCTGTTTTTGCCACCCCAATTTATCTTTGAGCTCCGAGTGCTAAAGGGACACAGGATCATGCCCCTAAAATTATGTTTAAACGACAGAATGTTTTGCCTATTTTCATTTGCTTTCTCTTGTTTTATTCATTGCAAATGGTTTCCATTGATTTCAAAGTGCTTTTATCCATAAATAAGCAAATAAGATGGCCTAGGCTTCTTGGGCCTGACTATCCTGGAATGCTTTTGTGGTCTTAGCTTAAAATCATTGTGAACTTTTGATGTATGTTTTGTTTTTTTAAAACTTTGCGTTTGCATTGCTTTTTTCCGTAGTTATCATACACAATTGGGGAAAAAGCTTAGATCAGGGGTTCTCAAACTTCAGTGCGCTGTGGCCCCTTCTGGCAACATAAATTGCTATATTTCCCCAGGATGGGGACTAAATCTGAGCTCATACAAGACCAATTGCCCTGGGCAGGGGGCAAAAGCCAAAGTCTGAGCGCTGCCACCCCAGGCAGGGGGCCAAACTCCAAGGGCTTCATGTCTGGACAGGGTGCCTATAACCTGAGCTCTGCCATCCTGAGCACTGTGTGGTGTGGCTCAGACTCTACAATTTATTGGGCCTGAGAACTAGGAAGACCCTCAGCATTAGGGATAGGGATTGAAAGTGTTTTGCTTCCTCTTATTCTCCTGCACAGCTGAGAAGATTCTGGAAAAAATAAAATAGCTCTAAGTTTGTTCACTGGAATGTTTCCTTTGCTACCCTCGAGCAGTTTCAAAAGGGATAATTTATCAAATTGTCCAGTTGAAAAAATATTGTATGGTTGATGCATTAATTTGTTTGTTTCTAGGCAGCTTGTGAAGGAAATATGCAAATCGTACAGCTTTCAACATCAAATGGATCTTCAAATCCTGATGGAAACATGGAAGATTACAATGAGTGAGTCTACAGAGAATTCAGTTCTTTTAAAGTGTTTCTGTAACTTTTTTTATGCAGAATATAAGCACTCAAGGATGCTTACTACACTGGAACTCCTATTACTTGGATTTTACACCAGTTTTATAGAGTCCAGGAAACAGCCATTTGCATTCCACCTATACTTAATTATTAGCAGACTCTGCATCCTTCAGTGAATGTCAGCTCCTGGCACCAAATGGATTTTTCCAGATAAATTAGGCTTGAAATGCTTATTATGGTTACTTTTTAGAGTTGTTTAATACCAAAGAGGGGTATTCATTTTCATGAAATTCAAACTTTACTGAAATATGTTTTAATAAGTATCAGTTTAATGATCTCTGTATGTCACACATCCCCTCCCCTGTTCCAGAAAGCAACACTGGTCTTCACCAAGGAGGCAAATGCCACATAGTGGACAGTAATAGCCACATTTTCAGATACTGAAGGCTGACATGCTGTTGCAGGGTCCACTCACTGCAGGTGATACTTGCGCCTAGCCACTCTGGAAAATCAGCTGTTGCCAAAGCCTTCTTTTGCTGTGTAGGTGTACTAGATGAAACTCCCTCCTCCAAGAGAGTAACTCTGCTCTACCATCAATTGTCTCAAACAACTTCCATTTACCCAGGGAGTGACTTCAGATCACATCACTGCAATCCCTTTTTTGATAACAGCTCTCTGGCTTTATAGATGCTCCACCTCTTCCTACACAGGTGATCTTCCCCTACTTACAGCCTTTCTCTCACCCTTAATTCTCCCAGACTGCTGTCTAATAGGTTAATTGACCTATCTGATCTCCATTAACCCTTAAAGGGAGTGTCCCTATCAAACTTCCTGCAGTAAAAACCTGGTGAATGTACTAATGTTTGCACCTACATTTAAAAACATAAATCATGTAATGTATGCAGAGTTGGGCATGGGCAAGCACAAGTATTGGTTTACATGCACAGTTATCTGTCTTAGATAGTCTTTTGAGCAAGCAGATGTAGGTTCAGGCAAATTCGGCATATATACTATGATCTTTTAAAAATACAGTGCTATTGTTCTAATTCTGATTCAATACAAATGTGTATTGATATGCACATGCTAAAATCAGCATCCTTTAAATACACATATATACAGATGTTTATTAGTGGTAGTATTTAGTATTTGCTAGGACTATCAAGTGATTAAATACTAATTGTGATTAATTGCATGATTAAAATATTAATCATTATTAATAATGCTGGTATTAATAGAAGACCGTTTATTTAAATATTTTGGGTGTTTTCTACATTTGCAACCCGAAAGAGCCGGGTTCGGGCAATCTGCGCATGTGCAGATTGCCGGACAGCACGGCTGGCGAGCGGGGCTCGCTACGGTTAGGCGAGCCCCAGTCATCAGTGTGAAAGCATGTTCTCTGTAATGGTGGCCAAATCATAAAGGGACATCTGAATGTTTAGCAAATCTGGTGTGTAAATACTTTGCACTGCTGACTACAAACGTGCTATGTGAATGCCTATTCTCGCTTTCAGATGACATTGCAAATAAGAAGTAGGCAGCGTTATCTCCGGTAAATGTAAATAAACTTGTTTGAATGATGGGCTGAACAAGAAATAGGACTGTTTGGACTTGTAGGCTTCAAAGTTGTATATTGTATCATTTTTGAGTGCAGCTATGTACAAAAATCTACATTTGTAAGTTGCATTTTCATGATAAAGAAATTGCATTACAGTACTCGTATGAAGTGAATTGAAAAAATACTATTTCATTTCTTTATAATTATTACAGTGCAAATATTTGTACTCCAAAATAATAATATAAAATGAGTACTGTACACTTTGTATTTTGTGTTGTAATTGAAATAATATGTTAAAAAATATAGGAAAGCATCCAAAAATAATTCATAAATTTCAGTTGGTATTCTACTGTTTTAATGGTGGGTTTAAAACTGTGATTAGTTGTGATTAATATTTTTGCCTTAATTGGGCGAGTTAAACTGTGATTAATTGCCAGCCCTACTGTTTACATCATGTTAAGAGCTGCCCTCATGGATCAGGACCATGTTAGGTTCTGTACAAGCACAGAACAAAAAGATGGTCTCAGTCCCAAAGGGCTTGCAATAACATGGGAATATACATTTGTATTTCTAGTTCTCCACTTTGATGCAGTCAAAATCCAGGACCCAAAAAAGCTTGGTTTGAAGTCTAGTGGTTTTGATAAGATGAATACAGGCAGTCCCCGAGTTACGCTGATTCGACTTATGTCGGATCTGCAGTTACGAACGGGGCTTTTCTCGCCCCGGAGGACTGGAGCGGTGGGACGCCCAGATGCGCTGCAGTCCCACTGCCCCCGTCCTCCGGGGCGAGAAAAGCTGCTCCACGTCTCCCTGGTCTGCTGGGGGGGAGCCCCCCCTAGCAGACCAGGGAGACCGGGAGCAAAGCCGTGGAGGATGCGGGCAGTCCCGCCACCCGCGTCTCCCTGGTCTGCTGGGGGGTGCAGACCAGGGAGACCGGGAGCAAAGCCACGGAGCACGTCCGCAGCGGGACAGCCCGGGCGCGCCTGGGCTTTCCCGCTGCGGGCGTGCTCCAAGGCTTTGCTCCCCGTCTCCCTGCAGACCAGGGAGACGGGGAGCAAAGCTGTGGAGCACGCCTGCAGCGGGACAGCCCGGGCACGCCTGGGCTGTCCCGCTGCGGGCATGCTCCGCGGCTTTGCTCCCCCTCCCCCCTGGCCGCAGGCCCAGGGGGCGGCGCAAAACC